TTGGAAAGAAGGATTGGTAGAAATTTTGGCCTTGGTGATGGAAATGACACTGCAGATTACATAATAGAATTTTTTGCAAAGCCAATGATTTACATATTGGAAATACCTTTTTCCAACACGGTAAGCAGTGACTATACATATGGACCTTGCCAGGTGGAATACACAGGAATCAAATCCAACTCTTATCAGTGAAGTCCAAGCTCTTAAGTCAGAACAAGGCCAGAGACTGGCTGTGGAATAGGTCATCATTTGCTCATATGCAAGTTCAAGTTGAAATTAAAGAAAGTTAAAACAAGTCCACAGAGCCAAAGCACATCCATGAGTCTTTACCACCCAGATTTAGTGACCATGAATGGATTTGATGGCCATCATACATGAAAAAAGTAAAAGGTAATTCAAAAAGTAGGAAACAAAGATCAAAATGGGTGTCAGAAGAGATTCTGCAACTTGCTCTTAAACATACGGTAGCTAAAGCAAAATTAAGAAATGAAGAAAAATAGCTAAACAAAAGATTTCAAACAATGTCTTTAGATATTATAATGAGCTGTGCAAAGCTGTGGAGTTAGAAAACCAGAAAGGAATAACACATCCAACATTTCTAAAGCTGAAAGAACTGAAGAAAAGTTCAAACCTTGAGTTGCTATATTGAAGGATTCTATGATGCCCTGGAATGCATGAAGATCAGTGTCTTAGGTGCTAGTGAGTTGAAATAGCCTGGTGGTGGGCAGTTTCAATCAGACAGTCATATGGCTTACTATGTCACTAACAACAAATCCTCACAAACTGGACCAATACGCAAAATCATGGTAAACCAGAGAAAATATTGAAGTTGCCAAGGGTCTCCTTTTACCTGGATCCACAATCAGTCCTCTGGGAGGCAGCAGTCAGGAAATCAAAGGCTATATTGCATTGGGCAAATCTGCTGAAAATGATCTTTTTAAAGTAACAAAAAGCAAAGATGTCAGTTTGAGAACTAAGAGGCCCTGGGCCCAAGCCGTGGGATTTTCAGTCATCTCATGTAGTGTGAAAGCATGGCAGTGAATAAGGAAGGCAGTAGCATTGATGCATTTGCATCATGGTGTCTATTGAGAAGACTGTTGCACGGGTCACGGACTTCAGAACAAGGAACACGCCTGTTTCGGAAAACGTGCAGTGGTACAGACCGCCCCTGGGAAGTGATGATGGCAAGACTTGGTGTCTTGTTCTGTGGACCTGTCAGCAGGGAGCAGTCCCTTGAGAAGGGCATAATGAGTGGCTCAGCAAAAAAGGGAGGAAACTCAACCAGATGAATTGATACAGTGGCTGCAACAATGGGCTCAAACATGGCAACAATTCTGAGGATGACGCAGCACCAGGCACTGCTTCATCTGTTGTACACAGCTTCAGTATCAGCCGGTGTGGGCCCAAGGGTACCAGGCAGTAACAGTTGGTCTTTGGAGTAAGCGGTATCAGTTATAATGTAGTTTGCACGTCATAAAATGTATTCACCCTGGAATAAGGATAACCTTCCTTAATAATATGAAGGACATATCTCATCACTAGCTGCAGAGAAAATGGATAAATCCTGTTTGTGAAAACTTGTAAATGAACATCTAAAAACAATCCTCTTTGCTAAGTGATGCTAAATGATGAATTTTCTTAGGAGCTGTTAATAGCATTGTGGTTTAAATTTTTTACCCAGCTGTATAGTTCAATGCTTGCCCCTCGGGACTGTGAAGCCACAGTTAGCATGTCTTGTGGCCTGTGCTCTTTACTACGATGTTGGCTGTCTTCCTGGTTTGAGGAAGGACACATTCTGTTGTGGCGATCCTGGAGACTTACCTGTGGACCTCTTGTGTCAAATCGTGGACACACTCCCCACCACCCGCTTTGACGGCTGTCAAGTCTCCCTAATGCTCAGCCTGTTTTCTCTGATCTTGTAGGTTTCCTTCCTTCCATGTGTCACTGTCTCCACTTCCCATCAAAACTCAGACCAAACCTAATTTGAAATGTCATTGATTTTCATCTTTTTGATACAATTATCATTGTAACTTCTGACAATCGAAATATCAAATCAAAAGCTTATCAGGCAAAATATTTTTGAAAGAATGATGTCATTTTTAGTTTCCTTCCTTTTCTCTTAAAATTCTCTTTGAGAAGTTAGTTATCTTTGAATTAGATAGATATATGAATGTTTCATTCTGGCTGTTGAGTGTTTTCTTTTGTGACCATTGTCTGAGCTTCGTTGCTTAAACTCTCCATGGAGATACAGTTTGGGGGTCATTTTAATGGATGCCTTTAAAGGCCATAGTACAATTTCTATTCATGCCTGGTGACTCAGGCAGTTGGTGATCACTTGCACAGGATCTGAGCAAAGTCCAATAGTGGTTAAAACTATTGGAATGAAGTCTGGGCCCTTGTCAAATTCTATTTGGCTGCTTTTGTGTGCCCCATATTACTGCTTTTTAGTTCTCAGAATCTCCCCTTCTGCTCTGTCTTCTCTTGGCATTTAGTTTTACCATTGGTTCTGCAATTGGTTTTTCCGTTCCCCTCCTGCTGGCTTTTGCAGAACTTGGTGCCCGTTCTGAGTGAAAGAGGACAATAGTGAATCCAAATGTGCATGGCTGGCAGCTGCAGAATTCTCCTGAATTGTCTTTGCCACAGCAGAGAGCGAGCCATAGAGTGCTGGAACTCAGAGACCACATAGATCTCTCAACCTTGTCTACCCCTCTGCTTCTGAAGAGGTCCTGATGGGGCCTTGCCCGAAGATGTGCTCGGACCATCCCACTGTGAAAGCGCTTCTCTTCCGTTCCTGCTGAAAGGATCCGAACTCTACTCATTCCCTGCTATAGCTCCGGAGGAGAGTGGAGGGGGGTGTGCAGTTAGTGGGGGAAGAACCAGCGTGTTTACACCGTCCCTATGGGTTGTAGGTGTCCCAGGCCTAATTCTATGAATCTGGTTTCTGTTTGCTTTTAGCTCTGGCACCCGCTCCTCAGTGACATCACACCTTCTACTTGAAATCTCACTGGAGTCAGCCCCGGAAAGTCCCTTTTAATGGTGTCCCCTCCCCCATCATGCACGTTCACACTCGCACGTTGACTTGGAGCGGGAAGGAAGGATCCTCAGCTCATTGCTAGTGATGCCTGCACCACTGGGTATCTGTGACAGCTAATGAGCACAGTACCTTTGGGGAGTGCTAAGGGTTTGGTGTGTCTCCAGTGATTTCCCACACTATGCTACGCAGTGAACACTCTTGCTGTCCTTTTTGTAGGTGGGGAAGCTAAGGCATGCAGAGGTTTGGTCACTCGGTACCAGGCCATCCATGCAGCTGGCCAGGACTGATGTGGAGAGTGGTTAAACCATGGTCCTGCCGTCCCCGTTGCACTCAAGCACGCAATGTGACAGGTTAGGTGGCAGGCAGGTCCAGAATCTGAGAGCCATTCAGGCTGAGGGAACCAGCCAGAACCAATCCCAGCTGCAGGGTCAGGGGTCAGGACTGTGTGGGTGTGTGTTAGGAAATCCTGGAGTTGAGGTTGGCGTTGTGGGTGAGGGTTAGGCTTTAGTACCCTGCCAGCTTCCTTCCCCAGCAGGAGAGGGCAGGGGACACATGCAAGACTCCCCACCCTGGACTGGTCCTCCAGCAGATGCCCAGCAGCCCCCAGCAGCGTTGAGGCCCCTGCCCCACCCTGGTCCTTCTCTCCAGAATGTGCCCATCTGTTGGCATTTATATCCGCTTACCCACTTTTTAACTAAAGTTTTCAGTAAAAATAGAGTTGGTATTTTGTTTTCAGTTGTCTTTTTGGGGTGAATGTTGAGAGAAGGGGCCATCTTAAAACCAGCAGTCATGTTCTTCAGCTTTGTGGAGCATCTTGAGTGGGGGTTTCTTCCTGTCTGGCACCTCCCCCATCCAAATCCAACCTAACACCATTAGACTGGCTCCAGCTCATAGGCAGCCTGCAGGTAGACTAGAGCTGCGTTCTTCATGAAAGCAGGCAGCCTCTGTGGAGCAGCTGGTGGGTTGGACCACCCATCTTTGGGTTAGCAGCCCAATACTTAACCCCTTGTGTCTCCAGGACTCCTTTGGCACCTAGTTGTTTGATAGGTGCCATCGAATCGGTACCAACCCATAGCGACCTTATGCACAGCAGAATGAAACACTGCCCGATCCTGGGCCATCCTCACTACTGTTGCCACGCTTGAGTCCATCGACACTGCCGCTTTGCCAATCCATCTCTTGTTCTCTGACCCTCCACCTGACCAAACATGATATCTTTCTCTAGCGACTGCTCCCTCCTGACAATATGTCCCAAGTATGAGAGACTAAGTTTGGCCATCTTGGCCTCCAAGGATCACTCTGACTGCACTTCTTCCAACACAGATCTATCTGTTGGTTCTTTTGGCAGCCCGTGGCACGTTCAATATTCTCCTCCAACGCCATAATTCAAAAGCATCAATTCTTCGCTTGTTAACTCAATGAGGCTAGGGGTAAGCCCTCAGGAGTAGTGGCAGCTGCTGGAAGGGAGGGGCCTGCAAATGGTGGCTGCTCCAATGTATGCGAGGGGACGGGAGGCCCCTGAGGAGGCTTTCAACTTGTCTCAGAGGAATGACTGTAAAATTAGCTTCTGACATAAGACTGGCACTTGGCCTACATTGCCACAGAAATGCATTGCCAATGCTGCCTCCAACCGTGGGACTTGGTAGAGTCGTCTGAGGAGGCTCGTTCACAAGGTGGCATGCTAAGATGCCTAGATAGGTAGGTTACAACTTACAGGGACTCAGAGGCACGTGCCAGGTGGGTCACGTGAGGGCATGTCCCTTGCAGAGTAAGAGACTCGGGTACAGTGGTGTGGTAGAAACCCGAGAACCTAAGACATAAGGCCATGCTTTATCACGTGGTCCTTGTGGAGTGTGGAAAAAGGTAAAACTTCAGTGGCCGATAAATGTTTTAAGCCGGTGTTTTGTAATAAGGGAAAATGTGAGTGCAGCACATTTTTGAAATGTCTGATTTGGTGTGATTTCAGTGAGGAGGACATGTACCGTGGTGCGGATGAAATAGAAAAGGAGAAGGAATTGCTTATCCATGAAGGAGAGGCATCAGGTACGTCTGGACTTATTTATAGAGTTCTGACTGTTGGTAAAAATGCCCTGAAGTTGGTCTGCCCATTTTCCTGAAATGTCTGCTGTCCTTTGTGGGAATCGCTCTCCTTCAGACCATCCATGTGACCTGTGTATGCTGGGGAGGAATGTTTCCTCCTGCAGTTTTGAAATTTCCATGCAGCTGTTTTCCCGTGTGCTTTACAATGTCATGTCTCTCCTGTACTTTGAGGGTTGCTTTGTTTCGTCTCCAGACTGCCTGCTCCCAGGTCTGGATGTCCTTATAGTTGTAGAAGGAGCAATGGCATTTGAAGTGCTTTATACCTTTCCTATTGGAGGACTTCTGAGAAGCTGACTGGCACGTCTGTGCGTACAGATGGCCATGTGAGTCTTCTGTGTGGTGGATGGCGTTCTCCCTGACCTGTAACCTGAATGAGCGTCAGTCTGATGGGTGAGGAGGAGCGTGTGGCCAATGACGTTCCTTTTCTTCTATTTCCTGCTTCTCCTCAGCCACACCCAGTCTTCTCACCCCACCGTAGTATGGGATTGGGTGCACGCAGGCACGTTCTTCCTGGCTGGCCTCTGCCCGTGTCGAGTCGGGATTGTCGTTGTATGCTGTTGTGCTGATGTCACTTATAGTGACCCCTTTGGCAGAGTAGAACTGCTCCATAGGATTTCCTAGGCTGCAGTCTACTTGTGGGTGCAGTGGAATCTTAATGGAAGTAGACTAGCCAGCTCTTTCTGCCACAAAGCTGCTGTGGGGCAGGGGGGAGGGTGTGTGTAAGCGCCAACCTTTCATTGGCAGCTGAGCATGTTAATTTGTGACGTGTGTGTTCTTCTGCTTTTGGGAACTAGCTTTGGTCCACTTTATGATTAAAAATAAGCATTGTCTCATGTGCAGTTAGGAACATGGTACATAGCAGTGTTTTTGGTGATAGTTTCCGAGAATGAACATAAGACGCAAAGATGGCGAGGTGTGTTATCAGGACATGTACTGAAAAGGGACCAGTCCCTGGAGAAGGACATCTTGAATGGTTAGATAGAAAGAGGAAGACACTCAGTAAGATGGACTGACTCTCCTGTCAGCATGGTTCAGGGCCTGGCAGGTTTCGTTCATGGGGACACCTAGCAACACCAGCAACTCGCTAGCACCTGCTGAAACTCTCCCACTTGTAGGTGTAGGCCAAGCTGGTGTCTTCCCAGGGCCTCATTGTTGCTGTCCCATATAGAAAGTCAGATATGCTTAGCGCTATAGGGTAAGCACAGCAGTTCAAACCCACCAGCCACTTTCAGAAACCCTATATAATGATTGCTGTGGGTTGGAACCGACTCCATGGCACTTACTAGCAATAACTGCTGCACTTGGTCAGGATTCACTTCTGAAGGTCAGTAACTTTCTCAGCTGGTGTTATTGCCACTCTATTGACAGGGTCTTCCTGTCCCCCCTCCTCCCTTGCAGGACTCACTTATGTCCAGCATTGTTGCCCTCCACAGGTGTTTCGCTCAGATTTAGTCTGAGATGAAAGCGGGTCCCTGTACATTCCTTCTTGCATCTCTGGCCTGGTCTTTGCTGCACTGTGGCCTTTGGAAGTGCCTCAGCCAAGTACCGTGGATCTGCTGATGATGGCCAACGCTGTCTCAAGACTGACTGACTAATTGCTGCTTAACTGTCTTTCTTTGAGTCTTTGTAAAGGTTTTATTCTGGTTTCTTTTGTCGTTGAAAATACTGCTGTCACTTGCATGCCCAGAAGCAGTGCCTGTCCCTCTGGCTCCTCTCTTCTTTGGTGGTCTGCACTTTCTTCTTGACTGGGCTGTTCATAAACTCATCGCCTGAGGTTTGTTCTCCTTGGCCCTGAAGATGCCTCCTTTTCATCCATTTTGGGAAAGTCTGAGCCTTTTCCTTGTTTCTTCTGTCACCTCAGAACTCCAGTCCTCGGTCAGTCATGCTCTTCTGCGTGGGCAGAACATCGGTGTTTCTGAGTAGTTTCTTCAGCTCTGTTTGCATTCTTTCATTTTTTTTTTTTTCACAGAAAGAAACATTTCTTGATGGTTACCATGGATGAAAGGGAGGAAAAAAATCGCGGTGGTTATGAATCGGACTGCGAACCGCAAGGTCAGCAGTTCGAAACTACCAGCTGTTCTGTGGGAGAAAGATGAGGCTTTCGGCTCCCGTAAAGGTTTACATCCTCAGAAACCCTGTACAGGGTCGCTATGAGTCAGTACCGACTCCACGGCACATAACTACCACCACCAGATAATAGACACATATTAATTAGGGTGAAGGGAAAGGCAATATACAATAAGGGAGAGAGAATCATAATATCAGAAAAGCAAAGGAAACCCTGAGAGGTACATAAGAGTTATAGGCAGTAACAGCAAATATGATTTCCCCCACAGTCTTGCACTACCAATAATAGCAAACAGCACTGGATACATAAACAGACATGCAAACTGAATAGGACCGGGTAAGCAAACAGAACTGTACCCATGACCATATGTAGCTTCGGCAAAAGATAGTTCTACATACATATTTGTATGTTCTATCAGTATATCCATGTATACAGTAAACATGGGGCAAAGTTATGAAAACTTTTTTTTTTCACCTTTTTTTTAAGATTTTCATTTTCGATTGAGTGAAAGTTTAAACAGCAGATGATCAGTTTTATATTCAACAAATCATATACTTTGTTTCATTACAACGATTATAATCCCCTCCAGCTCTGGTAGCATAGTGGTTACGAATCGGGCTGTGAACCTTAAGGTCAGCAGTTGGAAACTACCAGCCGCTCCATGGCAGAAAGATGGGGCTTTCTGCTCCCGTAAAGATTTACTGCTTTGGAAACCCTGTACAGGGTCACTATGGGTCGGCACCGACTCGACGGCCCTTAACAACTACAAGAACATGTACCATCAGTCAACAGTGTTTCTCTCTATTCGCTTTAGCTTTTTAAGAAAAGAAAAAAACCCACTCAGGCATATATAATAATTTACATCTCCAAAGGACACATTCTGCAAGTCTGCCTCCTGGTCACCAGCTCTTAGTCCCTCTCTTCCCATGAATCTGGGGTCCTCAGCCGCACCCCTTCTCCATGACCCCATCTCTTCCTCCGTCTCTGGCGTTGCTGCTTCTCTGGATAAGGTCCTGCATTCTGCTTGTGCTCTTCTCCCTTGATGGTCCTAGAGTCCTCTGTTCCTGGTCTGTAAGATTAACCACTCTCCTGTTTCTGGTATAAAACTTCTACCTTTACAATTGTGACAGTTACAATTAGTCATGATAACAGTTATTCACTATGGAATCATATAAATATTATCCCCATCTGTTTTCACCAGACCCATCCATACAAGATGAAAACTCTTCAATGGGGACTCCGCCCCCCATACTCTTAAACTAAACGCCCTCTTGAAACCTTCTAAGCTAGTCACTTCATGTCTTTATTGCCCCCTCATTTTAGGTAGCCAGTATCTAAGTTGCCTGTTCCTATATACCCCGTGTACAGAGAGGATAGCATTGGCACTTGATGTGAAGACTCCTTCCCTCTCTGTTGGTGTTTAGAGTTACTACCTCCATGAGTATAGATCAGGTTCATCAGATTGTAGCAATTTACCCTTGTTTCCTTTATCCCCAAAATTTTTTTTTTGTGTGTAATCTTCTTCTAGTGGAGTTCTGATTATCAAGCAATTGAAGCTAGGTCAATTGGATACAGTCTGCAAGTTTGAGTGTTCTTGTCCATCTCCTCTCACTTCGTATCAGCTTGATCCTTCACTCTCAGCTTTAGCCCTCTGTGGCTATGTCCTTGTTCATGGGCTCAGGTGTCCCCGGGTTTCACCACACTTTGGAACAACCACCCCTTCCTCTTCTCTCTCTCATCTCCAGGTCAACGGGAGTCAATGGACTGTGGTTGAACTCAGCCCATTTCTTCATTGCTGCCTTTCCCCCTCTTC